GACACACACACACTAACACACACACACACTAAGACACACACACACTAACACACCATTCCCATTTACTCACAAACCTGTGAGCTTGAAGAAAACACAGAAACCAGATGTTCTTGACAAATTGACCACTAAATTTAAGGAAATTGTCCCAGAAATGATTTTTATGCTTCATTTTATTCCTTTTTCTCTTTTCTCTTTAGAAATGATAGTTTTAATGGACATGAAGCAGGAAGAAGAAGAAAAAAAAGAAGGTATTTGAACTTTGCTGACTTCAGAAGCTCTTTCAGTGCTATTTTATCTCATTCTATTCTTACTTAATCCATCGATATCCCAACCCAAAAGTAATCTTCTTATGGCGAGGCATTCTGTTTCGGTGCAGCCAAACCTCGGCTGACAGGGTGGGGGAGGATGGGGTGGAGGAGGCGGGTGGATTGGAGACTCTTTAGAGCCTGACACTTTTGCTTCAGTCATTTCATGTAGGATTAGTTCTTCTGCGGTGGGTGAACAAGTGGCAGGTTTCTTCCCCTATGCYGCGTGTAAACCTCACCGCTTGAGGACGGCGGACCCCCTGCGTCTAAATTATTTATGGATCATCAAGGTGTCTTCAGTCAAAAACGTACAAAACTGAAAGATTTTTTTCTCCCCCCACCACGAAAGCGCCGAAATCAGAACCGTTTAACATCACTCTGCAGATATAAGCTGGATGCTGGAGGCTTATCAAATCTGTTTCCTTCCTCTGAATCAGCATCAGAAACAAAAGAAAATAGTTTTATTTAGATGATGTTGTGAAAAGTGAAGCAAAGACACGTAGAACATAAGTTATTCTTGATTTATTCTCTTGCACTGAACAGATAAATTACTCATATCTTAAACAACTGAGAAATACATGTTTTCTACAGAAATACAATACATACAGATTGAGCCTTCTTCTGAAGCCACCGGCTAAAGAGAAGTCTAAAAAAAAAGATGTCAGCTGCAGATTTTGCACATTTTGCTGCGAGGCCTTTTGCTTGAAGCTAAAACGAATTTAATATTTCCTCTCAAAATCCTTTAGTAGAAAAGGTGATATGATGTTACTCAGACTCCACTCAGACGGAGGGGAATGCTGGATGATATTTACAATACACCACAGATTCTTTCYCTCTGACAGGAGATTTAAAACCTTAAACTGGGATTTTTTTTTTTAGAAAGAAAAGACTGATTGCCATTTCATTGTGGGATCAGATGCCATGTTTGTGTAAGTCATGCTTTAGTTCACATTTAAAGGATGAGTATGAGATGTTTTAGAATCTCAAATATTTGCTGGGAGGAGTCAGATCGAGGCTTTCTGCTCTGGCTTCATCATGAACGATGCTATGAGTTAATTAACAAGCATCATCCACAGGTGATCACAGCTGCAGTCCAGACAGGATGCATTTTACCGATCCATTTAAGTTTTTGTTTTTGCATTATTTTTAATAAGGCCATGATGATGATGATGATGTGGTTGCCAAAAATCCATACTGAGGTAGGTCCTCCGAAGTCCGTGCTCAGGCTCAGTTCCTGTGTTTCATGTGAGATTGAAAAGTTTTTATTTTTTTAAGCTTTGTCGTTCTGCTCTGTTGTTAAAGGGAACGCTGACTATCATTAAACATTATTTAATAAACATTTACTTTAACTTTAAGACTGTAAAAAGACTGTAGGCTGTTTAGTTTTTATAAATTTAAAAAATATTGTCACAGTACGGCGCCATATTGTTATGACGCAAAGCATTCTGGGTAAAGGATAATCTTTACTAGATGTTCCGGTGTCAAGCTGTGAGTGAGTTCTACCTGCCCTGAAGGTTAATCTTGAACAATATCTGGCGTTCAGCCCTTTTTAAATGAAAGCAGAGAGCGTTGACAGAGAGGAGAAGGTAGAAATGACTCAGCCTGTAACTGAAAATATTGATGGAGGACAACAGAGCTGCTTCATGGAAGAAGAACCTCAACTTAGCCTGTTAGCTTTTCTGTTAGCACCCGAGCTAGTAT